AATAAATTGCTGCATTTGCAGCGATTTTGATCAAAAAAAATTTAAAGTTAAATTGTTGCTATAGGTCAAATCAATTATTCATTATAATATAGTTATAATATAAATGCAGTGTACTTATAGATTTATTTGAATTTTTAATTTACAAAATACGAAATTATTATTTTACTTTTTAACTCACTTGAATGGCAGCGATTAAACTTCAATTTTTTTTATTAAAACGCTAATCGCTGCCAGGGTAGCGATTTATGTAAAAAAAAAAAAAATTCCTTAAAAAAAATTGTTGCTGTAGCAGCGTTTTAAAAAGAAAAAGAATTATTTTTTTTGAGAAAATTGCTGCTAAGGCAGCGATTTTTATTTCTTTTAACGACATCATTTTTTGTCAGAAGAAAATCACCCCATCAGGAGCGATTTTGCCCTTTTGGTTAAAAAAAATTTGATGTACCGTTTTTTTATTTTTTGAAGGAAAAAAGTTGCCCTTTCGGAAGCCAGCGAGGAAGGCTTCCAATTTAGCCATGATGTGATTTTGATTGTAACTCCTTTTATAAAAACCCACGATTCAAACTTTACTACCATCAATTTCATCTTCTTTATGTTCGAACAAAAAAAGAGAAAACAGCCAAATACCCCCTCAACCTATTACCCGATTCTCAACTACACACTTATACTTCACGAGGGTCCTATTACCCCCCTAGAGTATTTTAAACACAAATATTGATACCCTTAAAACGTCACCCCAAATCTTTGTTGTTGAGTGTAATGCACGCACCTATTTTCAGAATAAATTTTTTTAAAAAAAAAATCATCACCAAAATACATCAATTTTAATGCTTTTCTTTTTTTCTCCACTATTCTATTCATCTTCCTAAATCATTCTATTTTTTTCTCCATGGCTCCCAATGTCTCATCTTCTCGAATCCATCTCCATCTCTATCACACCCATCATCCTCCGTCTTTCTTCTATCTTTTCGATCATTTATTTGCACAAAATCTAGTTGTTATTGTTGAATTCAATAAATTAACATGAATGTTGAATCTTTTATTATGGTATCTTATTGCCATTATTGTGTAGTTCTGCATCTGGGTTCTCTAGTTGCTTTTTTATGGATTTGAAGATGAATTTTTCCTTGCCAAATTTCAAATTCTAATACCCACTTTCAGTTTGAATCAAGAAACTCACAAATTTCAAATTTTATTACCCACTTTCAATTCCTAACAAGAAATTTGCGCTGCTACTATAATCGAAAAGATTTCTCTAGCAGAAGTTGTAATATCATTTTTCAATATCGGATTGAAAGTATTTTCCATTGAGGTGAAAGAAATTAAAGGATTTTGGTTATGTTGTGTATTTTTAGGAAAGATTTGAAGGTGTTAGTCATGAAAAAGTTCATTGTGGATTAAAAGTGAAAAAAAAATAGAAAAAATAAAATAATTGTATAGGTAATTGTCCATGGAAGCCATGGCAAAATTCAATTGCAGAGGTTTAATTTTAGAGGTTGGTAATGGTTAGAGAGAGAGTATGTGATTGTAATTAACTAAATTTATTTATTAATTGTATTGAATTCAATTAAAAAATGACAGTTGTCAAATCATTTAATTTTGACTTATTTATCTGCCTTACACTTGCCTCTAGGAAAGTGAACACACTTGCTGTGCCACATCAGCACTTAAGGGTGTTAATATCTCTGTTCAAAATACTTCAAGGGGGTAATAAGATCTCCGTAAAGTATTGGTGTGTAGTTGAGAATTGCGTAATAGGTTGAGGGGGTATTTGGCTGTTTTCTCAACAAAAAAACTATGTAGTGTTTGATTTATACACTCCAAGAGAAGGAGGAAGCCATTTAACTTGGATGGTAGTAGTAACATTAAGATTACTAGAAATATATAGTATAGATAGTATACTCCATAATTTTATTCTTCATTCATATTATTGACAGAGAATCAAATTTACTATTATGAATGCTATGAATTTTCTTAAACCAAGTATGTCAAAGGATTAAAGGAAGAAAAACAATTCATTGGTAATGATTATTGTAGCGACCCTTTCGAAAGACTACTACCACTTAAAGAAGAAATCTAATTTAATACTTGCGACATTTAAAAGAGATTAACGAAGGGCATATTGATTATTGTCTAGTAGAGGAATTAGGTTCATAAAAAAAAATAGTTAAAGAAGTGAAGCCTGCCCATTCACACATTAATTTGATGTCAAATTGAAACTACGTAGAATTTTATCTTATGGCGGAAGAACCCTTCCAAAATAATCTAAGCAAATAAATTACGAGATTTTCCTGCATATTTTATTCTCTCACTTAAAAATAATATAAAATAATATTACTAACTTTCGAGTATCAAAATTAGCCGGTTCATGCTTCAAACAAACATTTATAACAAATAGTAAATTTAGTATATTACAAGATTTGGGTTTACACACCCCAAAAACAACAAAACATATAGCTATACTTATATTACAACCCACTGTGACATGATCAAATTAGCCTTCCAAATTTTCATGTAAATGTACAACACATAGATCATGTACAAGTCCCAAGGTTTATACAAAATATAGATGCCTATATGCAAATGTGATCTTCCTTAAGGCTCTCAAAATCTCCATCTCCAATAGCCAACTTCATGCATCCTCTTGAACACTCCCTACGATAGAAACAACTATCGGTAAGCATATAACTTAGTGGTGTAAAAACTATAGGTTTGGAGCCCTCAGATTCACCAAGCTCCCTTTCTCAAGTCATGGGCAACAAAATTGAAACATAATAAATAAATCAAGGTCGATATTTAAAGATCCAAATGTCAAGAACGCTCATAGCACCATTTTCCAAGAGATTCAATAACAAAGCTTGCCCAATAGATACATCATGTCGTCACACCAAGCATAAGCAGGTATCAAGAATGATCGATGCCCTGCATCAAGAAGGGTCAAAGCCCAATAATCAAGAGAACCAAAAACCATATTAACAATGGCTTTCTAGTTCACACTCAAAATGGACAACTTTCATACTTAAGAAGAACTAAAAATCCAAAGTCAAGATGACAAATGATCAGAATCAAAAGGCATGCCAATAGTGACAAAGTCACAGCCACAAGAAGGACAAGGTCCCAACAAGAGTGCTAAGTGATCAAACAATCTGTACAAATGGGCGAGTTACACAAGTGTTTTTAATGTCTTAAATAATACCAACACGACAATGCAAAGTGACAAGAGGTAACCAAGGTACCAAGATAATCTTTCAGATATACTAGCAGGTAAAAAGAGTACAAGTACAAGTTTATACACAAACCTCAGTGCTTAGCTTAGAAACAGTCCAACATAACTTCAAAAGTTCAAACCGTAGACCAACCAACGTATCAAGGTCCTCAACTTGTTCACGAGTATATACAACCTTAAAAATAAAATTAAATAACTTCTTTAATTCCTAGTAGCTCAATAATGTTGATGTATAACAAGATTTTCATCACAAGTAAGCTTAACCTGTACAAATACGACTATGCTCCCAAAATAGTAATTTTGGCCAGCCTAGTATACCTCATGTCGCAACTTAGATTTGAAAAGGAAAACGGCAAAACTGGACTATATAACCTTCATGAAAGATGTAGGTACATCTCTTAAGGTTGAAAATAATCAAGAATCACTGCAAAATATATTTTGTACAAAAGATATAATCAAAAAACTAACAGTTGATCATAGAAGATTTCTAATTCCGAAATCTGGACAGAACTTGTCCTATGTTGCGTCCCATATTTTGAATCCATAAAAGCTAAATTAGAGTTTTACATAAACATAAGAGTTGTAGGTATATGAATTATCTTTTCAAATCATATTTATTCACTGTAAACGAAGTTCTAAAGAACGAGATATGCTTAAAATACTAAATACTACCCAGCTCGAAAACAAATTTCATCACTTACCAAAGGGAATGGTGTGTCTCGAATTCCAGCCAAAAGGACAAAGTTTTTCTCTTGTGATTTTGAATAACAAGTTGTTTAGATAGAGTTCTAAGGTTCTTAGACTTTAGGGAAACGAATTTCACTAGAGGAGGTGTGAAAATATAGTCACAAAGGTGATGTTTATCACTTATACAGTTGTCCTTCAAATGTGCTTCCCAAATAAAAAGTGTGCTGCCCAAAATGCATACATATATACCTATATGTACCTCACCACCCTTTCAAGTTATAGGTAATCCTAATTAGAATATTACGTAAATACCTCAATACAATCCCTTAAATTACGATCACAATTATGTTAATCAAGTTTGTAAATATCACAAAATTTCAACTTTCCAAAATGAGAATAAAATATTGTAGTAATTAAGCAATGGTGTACATGCGACTCTTGGTTAGTATTTAGGGGTGTTACAATTATCATGTTATGAATAATGATCGTCTTGTTATTTGTAACTAAGAGACGAGTAATCTCATCCAGTACACCATATTATTTGATATTAGTCATATTACACTAAATTATATTATTTTATCAGTGTTATTAAAAATACATATGGAAGCAATCGTCTATTAATAGACCACATCATATCTTAGGGATCACATATGCATCTCTTTTGAAGTTAAGAGTACTATACTAGTGCATCACAACATACTTTAGGGCTCATTTTGAATCAACATGTTTTTCAATTACTATAGTACAGTACTGTAGTAATTAAAAAAACTTAAAATTAATAAAGAAATTTATTAAGTAAAAATAATAATAATAAAAAATAAAAAAAAAATCAAAGATACACGAGCTCCATAGAACATGTAGGATTTTCCAGATTAGGTTCTGACTCCTCTTTTTCTCTCTCACACTCTCCCTCGTGTACTGTCCTCTGCATTGCGGCTAGGGTTTCACCTAAATATCCCTACTTTTTTGTTCCTATTGACCTGTACTGATTTTACAACTGATTTATGACGATGGATATTCGGATGAACTAGCGGTTGTCGCGGTGTGTTGACACATAAAAAGGTAAAAAGGGTTTTTGTAGCTCTTGAAAATGGCGGATTTGAACCCCTTTGATTTGCTTGGTGATGATGATAACGATGATCCATCAAAGCTGATTGCTATTCACCAGCAAAAAGTTGATCCGGCGAAGAGAGCCTCAGCTCCGGCGGCTAAGAAGCAGCCGGCGAAGCTCCCCACTAAGCCTCCTCCCCCGACTCAAGCTGGTGAGCTTCAGTCAGCTATTTATGTCTTGTTTATGGATACGACTCAATCATATTACTAGGTATCTGTATTTTGGTTGAATATTTGTAAATTTAAGGAAGTGAAGATGAACAGCGAGAAACAGATGGGGACTAAGAAAGGATTTGACCGTTTAGGAATAAGTGTTGTATTTGGAGTGCCTCTAGTTTTGAAGAACTGTTAATTTGTCTTATAAGAGAGATATTATTTGTTGGAATGAACCCAAATGAAACCGGACTAAAGCAGAAAGAGTACAGCGAATTCATATAGATATTCCAATATTAGTTGGGTTTTGATGCATAGCTGTTGTTTTCTGTAAAGTGATACCAAGGCAAACCGTCTTTCAATTGCGACATGTTTGCTAACTATGGAGTACTTGTTATTAGAGGCAGAGTCAGGATATCAACTTTATGGATTCTGTATTTTAGAATGACAACTTCAACTGTTAATAACTGGGTTCTAAATTTATTATCTATAGACATTTAATGAACTTTTAACACAAATACACTCTTTTGAGTAAAAACTATTTGTGTATTGGCATGTGAGTTTTTATAGATAATTGTAAAAAGTTACAGTTAGTTTTAAAGGGAATTTGGAAACGACCCATCAAACAATAGTGCTAGTTGCTCTGGAGTTGTTTCTACTAATCTTATATGGTGAAAAGCTAGGTCGTTTTTGGTGGTAACAAGGATGGAAGTAATGTTGCTTGAGTCATCTATATTACACATTGTCTTATCCTTCTTTCTTTCCTTGGAGGTGAGTGGTGATAATATAAATGATCTATGCTCTATATTGGAATGATGTATGATGCAAATAACATTATCCGATAACAATCACATGGATAGTCACTTGTTAAATTTTAACTATATAAAATTATTTTTCTAAAGTTGTGTGGTGGGAGTCGATATGTGCTTTTACCATGGTGATAATATATTTTCTACCTTGGATGATAACACGATCAGTAAGATATTATCATCTCATGTTTTGTTTTTCATTATCTATATTAGCTAAAAGTAGAGAAAGGTGTTAATGTTTGGATCAATTTAAGTGAGGTAAGCAGATATTCCATATCGCGCAGATAGCTTGCCTGAATTTCTGGATGTTCGACTTCAACACCTAATTAATGTGAGACCAACTTGGTGTACTGTCAATGCTTTGATTTATCAAAAAGAAAGTAATCATGATCTGCGTAGACCTTCAAATGTAACAGTCTATAGGCGGGGCATAATAATCACATGAGGAATTGTCTAGATGAATACATTATCTTATAGTTGATGTGGCTTAGCTAAGGCCTAAGAGTATAACATAATTGTAGTGAAGTACCTGCAGCTTAAAAAAAGAACCTTGTTAAAATTGAAGCAAAGTACACATATAGATGATACCAACTATTTAAGATTCATGCTTAGTTGCTGTTATTACACTTACATTAGGTCAGCATAAGGATAAGTAGGAACTTCTAGTTCTATAGAATCCCTAATTTGTCTTAAATTGCTTAGCAGTATCAGCATGTAATTGAGTTATAGAGTGGAATAAATAGAGGACTCGTATAAGCCACTCCAATTAGTTTGGGATTAAAGTATTGACCCAACAAAAAGGAACTAGTTTGAGATTGGAACGAAGTTTATTGATAAACAAATGAAACTATAATGACTTAAAAGTTTCCAAGTTTAAGAGTGAAGCATTTTTTTTGGATTTGACTATTATTTGTTAAAGGATGAATTTTTCTTTTATCCCATTTCTCTTCAAAAGAATGTATAAGAATCCCATTCCTGCTGTTATTGAAGCCTTTTGGTTTTGACATTTCACATGTTAATGTATATACTTTTTATATTACATACAAGATGTCTGATTGTAACCAGTTCTCTGTTATTCTATTTTTATTTTCTCATGCTTGTTGCTTGTCATGTTCAAGAGTGCTAGCAAATTGTCTGGAATTGAGTGGTCCCACTTGAATAATGATCTGGATGGATTAATTTTTGTTTTCTGTTGCTCAATCTGCCTATAGGCTTCTGTTTATAGTCATTGCACTTATGGTTCTTTTCCCCCTTTTCTTTTGCAAGTATTCACAATTTGCACTTATGGCGTCTCTGTTTCAACTGTGTAGTCAGGGAGGCAAAAACAGAATTTGGACGTGGTGGAGGTAGAGGTGGTGGACGTGGCTACAGCCGTGGTCGTGGTGGAGGTGGGTTCAATAGGGAAGCATCCAACAATGAGAACTTTTCTCGCAACAGAGAATTTTCAGGTGGTATAGCTGCACCTGAATACATGGAAGGAGGAAGACCCTCCGAAAGACGTGGTGGTTATGGTGGACCCCATGCTTTCCGTGGTGGTAGACCAGGTGGTTTTGGTAATGAAGAAATGCCCGAGGGGGACCGGCCTCGTAGGACATTTGAACGCCGTAGTGGTACTGGCCGCGGGTAGATACATCTTTCTTGTCTGTGTTACCTCGCCTTTCTATTACCATGTTTGTAAAGCTGTCGTACTTATCTTTCACTGTATGAGCAGAAATGAGATAAAGCGTGAAGGTGCTGGCCGAGGAAATTGGGGAACTGAAGCAGATGAAGTTACTCAGTGAGTTTTACTTTCTTACATGGCCCTAAACTAACTAGTTTGAAAATAAATGGCAAATTCTATCTATTGAATTTGGTGTTGAATTTTGTTGTATTGTCTATTACAGGATGACTGGTGAAGTTGCTGATGAAGGTGAGAAAAATCTGAATGTGGAGAAACCCTCCACCGAAGAAGAAGCAGGAGACGACAAGAAGGAAAATCCAGCTGCTGAAGCTGAGGACAAGGAGCCTGAAGATAAGGTGAAGTCTTCTTAATCATACACAACACAGTATTGATTGGACTTTGTCGATCCTTGTGTTGCCGCCTTTGTATGAGATATGTTGTGCTCTTCTCTAGAAACGGATGCTCAAGAGTGCCTGGGCAATCATAATTTAACACCTTCCTTTTTGAAGGCCCATGGAAGTAGCAAGTCTATAATTTACTTTTTGCTTTTATAACCTGGTAATTGCTCATCAACTGGAAGTAAATATCGGATGCACATTGGAACTTCTGGACATTGTTCTTTGGGTTGCTTGAGAAGGGGCTGGATTTTGGGTTCCGTATTTGGTGTTTAGGTTAACAGAAGAATGTTTCATAATTGGAACTTGTTTGCTTAGTACATTTGGTGAGGTCATGTTTAAAGCCATTAAAGGACATGTTTTAAATATTGTGAATAATTTTGTTGAAAGTGCACTTGAGCTATGAAGTTATGACTTAAGTGTGTGACACAGGCAGAGCTTGCTTTTCTTGGCAGCAGCTTCTTTGCAAGCACCAAGTATTCAAGGCACAAGTGTCCGACCATGGGCTCTGTCAAAGAGGCGTGCACTACACAATAAATGTAGCTTGCACAGCAATCGACTAATTAAAGAAACATTATGGATGGATATCGTTGTTGTTAGGAATAGGATAACAATTTACTAAAAAGATACTTTAACTAATAAATTTGATTAAGACACTTACACAACTGCAGTTAGTTAGAAATGCACTTAGTGCTTAAATCTTTAATAGACTTGAGTGCCTTTTTACGTATTTTACTTTTGACAACACTGGCCATAAAGGTAGAAGCAGAAGTTTATCAGTAGTAGAAACTTTCCAAGTGTAGTGCTGGTTATGGTAGAACTAGTACTTAAGACATGGTGGAGTTGCAGGGTCTCAAACTAGGAAGTGTTAATGCTCAAAAAAAAAAAAGACATGGTGGAGTTGCAGGTGATGGTTAATAGTTTTTACCAGTTCACTGCAAGAGAGTTAGTGCTTCACAGCAGATGATTTATCGTTAGAGAATGCAGGTAAATTTGTACATTGTTTTATGTTTAATGTAATTCATGTTCCTTGAATGAATAGGAGATGACCCTTGAAGAGTATGAGAAGTTGCTAGAAGAAAAACGGAAGGCTTTGCAGGCGCTTAAGACTGAGGAAAGGAAGGTCGACACCAAAGTATTTGAATCCATGCAACAGATTTCAAAGAAACCCAGTGATGAAATCTTTGTCAAATTGGTGAAATCTTGAGACATTCTGTCCTCTGCTTATGTTTGATGCCAGTTATCTTTAAAACATTTCTTGATATACTTCTATGCCTTAATTTTTAGGGATCCAAGGATAAGAGAAAAGAGTCTGCTGAGAAGGAAGAGAAGGCAAAGAAGGTAATTCTTCGGCATCTGCATCCCTGACGCTCATTTATATAGCACATGCTTTTCTTATGCTGCTCTCAATAGTGCTTTACCAATCCTTGTGGGACTACACTGAGTATGTTGTTGTTGCTCTCAATAGTGCTTTGCCAAATTTTATGTACAATGCATCCATCCTGTTATAATTGTTATTCTTGCTATACACCACAGCAGACACTCTTTTCTGGATGTTGTTGCATGCGTGTCAATGAAAATTGTATCATGTTACAATGTTGTTGTAGAGGGTACATTTATGTTGTATTCTTCTACAGTTGGGCCTTTGTTTCCTCTGTTTCTTTCAGATTTTCTGGTAATCCTTTTGCTTGCCAACATATAGCTGTTATAGTGCCATGCAACAATTTTTACAAAAAGAAATCCATTACACACTCTTATACATGTGCATGCACAGGCTGAAGTTGATTGAGATGAGGTGTCAATCAATCGACATAAATGAGAGTGAAAATTGTAATCATCTTACACGTAATATCCTCTCTTTTTTTTCTCTGGCTTTAGGCTGTCAGCATTAATGAGTTTTTGAAGCCTGCTGAGGGCGAGAGGTATTATGCACCTGGTGGTCGAGGTCGAGGGCGTGGCCGCGGTTCTAGAGGTTACAGTGGAGCCAACACAATGAGCAATGTGGAAGCTGCTCCTCCCATTGAAGATCCAGGTCACTTCCCTACATTGGGTGGCAAGTGATGCTTTTGTAGTGCTTTTCTACCACGTCCAAGAGGCAAATCTGACTATAATAATGGAGTGGAAGTTTCAATGTAAATTTCTTCCGTTTATGTGATCCTTTCTGTAGCTTTTTTATTTTATTTTATCTGAATCCTACTGGGTTATATGAAGCACATTAACTTACGCATGATCTTTTCCTTGTGCTGTTTTATTCTAGTAATATTTTCTGTGCATTATTTAATGATAATTCTCATCTACTCAGATGGTAGGGTGGTCGGTCTTCTGAACTTCTGATTAGGGATAAATACCTTTACTTTTGATACTTACTATTTGTGTTGGGAGGTCTAAAATTTGAATAGCCATGACTATCGAGCAGCTGTTGGCGGACCAAGTTTACCTTCGTAAGGTCCGCTGTTCTCATCTTTCAAGGATCTTCTCTGCAAGTCTTTCATCATTTCTGTATACAATAGCTCAACATCGAATTGAAGACCAAGAGCATGAACACCGTTCTCTCGTCACGCGTAATAAGCAAAATTATCTAATTACAAGTTTACTACTCCCCCACCCCCAACACCCCACTCCCTAGGATAGCACAGGGGGTGACAATGGGGAAGCTAAAACTGAAAGTTGACGCAACTACAAGCAGCTCCTATGATTTATCACATGGGTCATGTGGTATCGTTATTAAAGTAGTAATAGAGTTAACTTAAAATGAAAAGAGATAAGAGGGTTTAAGGATTGTGGTAGGTGAGCCTCTTGATGGTGGTAGGTGAGAGCAGTGTGAATAAATAGCAGAATCAATCTAGTAAATGTATTTGCGTTTGGATCTTGACGGAAATGGGGAGCCAAATTGCTGTCCCTGTGAAAGAAACCTTCTTCATATCACATGGTTCCCCAATGCTTTCAATAGATGATTCCTTACCTGCCAGACATTTCTTGAAATGCTTCAAACAGAAAGTCTTCACCCAGAAACCCAATTCAATTTTGGTGATCTCTGGTCATTGGGAGACTTCAGAGCCTACTGTGAATTGCATCAATGGCCTCAATGACACTATTTACGACTTCTACGGCTTCCCAGAACAGATGTACCAGCTGAAATATCAAGCACCAGGAGCTCCAAAATTAGCCAAAAGAGTGAAGGAACTGCTCAAGTCATCTGGTTTCAATCGAGTGCACGAAGACAATAACCGAGGCCTAGATCATGGTGCATGGGTGCCTCTTATGCTCATGTATCCAGAGTCTGACATCCCAGTCTGCCAGCTTTCTGTCCAGACAAAGAAGGATGGAACTCATCATTTTAACATTGGGAAAGCATTAGCCCCTCTCAAGGAAGAGGGTGTCCTCATAGTTGGTTCTGGATCTGCAACTCACAACTTGAGGGCTTTGCGCGATACGGCTGGCGTCGCTTCTTGGGCTATGGATTTTGACAATTGGCTTAAGGAATCCCTTGTTAATGGAAGGTATGAAGATGTCAACAACTATATGACAAAAGCACCTTGTGCCAAAATTGCACACCCATGGCCTGACCACCTGTATCCATTACATGTAGCAATGGGTGCAGCAGGTGAAAATGCCAAAGCTGAACTTATTCATCATAGCTGGAGCAGCCATGCTCTTTCTTACGCCTCCTACAAGTTTAAGTCACAGCCTAAGTAGCCTTTGCCGACAGAAGAATGTTTACTTTACTTTATCTGTCCAAAAGCATTTAATGGCTTCAATGTATATTTCTATTGAGGGTCTTTTGAAAACAGTATCTCTGTTCTCTGTCTTCATGAGATAGTGGTAAGGTCTGCATACACTATACCCTCCTTAGATCCCACTTACTAAAATTTCACTAGATATGTTGTTTGTTGTAATGTTATTTATTGCCGTTTTAATTTAGGCAACGTTGAGAAGAGCAAATGTTGCCAAAAAAAAACATTTAAAATAAATAATCAAGGGACCATGTTCATTAAGCAGGACTCGGAGCTTAGCACAATTCTTACAGTGATTGAATGCTGATTGGGACATCCGATATAGCAAAAATAAAAAAAAGGATGTTAACGGCAAGACGTTCATGTTCACCAGTATAGCTTTCAGTTGAACTATGAGAAATTTATTTTTAAGCAAAAGCAGGCCTAAATGTCAAAGTGCAACAAATAATGCTAAGATCATTACGTTCACAATTGGTCCACTTCAATAAAAAGATATATCTAGCAGTAAGGATTTTGCATGACAAGGCTACAAGGGTAAACATTGTTGTTGATTAGTGAGATTACAGTAGACATGTCATGGATGAGAGGTGAGCCAGCAAGCAAATAGCGGACGTTCTCTCAAGACGAGCAGCAGCCACTATTCTGAGCAACGGGCTGTCCACGAATATTTACATTTGGAGGCTGGGCAGCATTTGGGGCCGGTTGGTTTGCCATACTGCAATCAGGAAGCCAAAGAGAAGGAAATAATGGGAATTGAGAGAAGCAATAGATATCATCTAATAAATGTAAATGAAAAGATTATTTGGAGAACATTTTATAGCATCAAGTGAAGTTGATTAAACCATGCAATCGTACAAGGGATGGGGCCAAAACCAAACAAGTTGCTACATCTTTCATTTGGACCTTTTGGTTTATGTAAATGCTTATAGTGTTTGCATATCATGTTTAAATCCATTTAAAACGTCAAATAAGATCCTAAATGGGAAGATAACCATATTTACTACCTAAAATATCTCTCAATTTTCAGGACCAAACATAATGTCAGAGAAGGAAGTGATAAAAGTAATCGTCTCACAGAAAACAGTAGTAGTTGGATTTTATCAAAAGATCACACCACAACTTGGAAAGACTATAAAAGACATCATTGATTAGCACTATTTAAATACAAGGAATGCATTTACCTTTTCTTGATAGCAGCAGTCATAGCCATGAAAGACTCTTCTACATTACTAGCATCTTTCGCACTGGTCTCCAAGAATGGAATACCAATTTCATCAGCAAAGGCCTAAAAATAAATTAGTATAAGTTTGTTTTCCATTTAAAGAAGGATCATTTAATATCTCCAAGAAGATGATTCACCTTAGCCGTTTCATACGACACAACTCTACTAGCAACAAGGTCAGACTTGTTCCCAACAAGAATTTTGTTAACATTTGGGGTAGCATAACGGTCAATTTCACTCAGCCACTGCTTCACATTATTGAAGCTCTCCTGATCCGTCACATCATAAACAACCTACCATAGAGGCCATAAAAAGAATGTAGAATGTAACAGGTAAAGAAAGCAGTTGACATTTAACTCTACAGGCAACTAATTATTATTTATATTGTGTTAAGAAAAGTAAGGTCACTACTCACTATTATGCCATGGGCTCCACGATAGTAGCTGCTAGTGATAGTCCTAAAACGCTCTTGTCCAGCGGTATCCCACTAAACAGAGTCAAAATAGAAAACACCAATTCTTGATTTCATTAAAAGTTCAGCGCAACAAATGTCTGTAAAAAGAAAGACCTGAAGCAGAAGTGCAGGAGAAGTCTTACAATCTGAAGCTTAATGGTCTTTCCATCTTGCTCCACTGTCCTGATTTTCTACACGAAAACATTTGGATATTTGGTAAAATCAGTTATCACATAAAAGTAAAAATGCTCTGGCTGAAAAAGACCACAGAATTCCAACCATATGTAAAACTGAGTAGCACATAAACAATTAAAGTATCTTACAAAATCAACTCCAATTGTGCTTATGTAGCTCTCCTGATATGTGTCATCCTGATGGAAAAAAAGAGAAAATAAGCAGCCAACAATTACAGAAGAAAAATGTAAACAACATTGAACTATATTCTGATACAGTTTTCAGCAGGGTAAGAATCTAATCAAATGTTTACAGGGTGAACGTGGAACTTCATAGAATGGCTATGCCTCTATAGAAAGGAGGAGCAAATATCATGTGCAAAGTAGTTTTCTATAAGATACTGATAGTTTCAACTTCATTATAAAGCAAGAAAACAACTCCACTAGAGTACTCAAGTAAACTCTAGTATAGTTCGAAAGTTCAGGACTATCCTCAGTCTTCACTTATAACAACAGACTGTGACAAGGAGCTAGCAAATAAGAAACAATGTCCTGACATTACTAGAAGAATGCCCATCTTTCTTTAGTCAACAAGAATCTACATCCACACCAAAAAAGGAAAAAGAAGAAGAAAATAGAACATTTTTTCTAATGACAGCCAGTATAGTGGCTATGCCTCTGAATTATAGGAAGGAGTAGCAAATATCGTGGGCAAAGTTATTTCTACGAGATAGTGATAGTTCCAACTTCACTATAAAGCAAGAAAACAACTCCACCAGGGTACTCAAGTAGACTCTGGTAGTTGGAAAGTTTAGGACTGTCCTCAGTCTTCACTTGTAACAACAGACCATGACAAGGGCTAGCAAATAACAAACAATGTCCTGACATTATTAGAAGAATGACCCATCTTTAGTTAACGAGAATCCATTTATGCCACACCCCAAAAAAATAGAAGGATATTTCAGAACAATAATTCTAATGACAACCTCATGCCAGATGGCCATTGGCTTGTGAAGCAAAAGAATAAAATGATTTAGACCACCCTCTATCCATGTCAGGGGTGACTGGTGTCCATGCAGTGAACAACATAGTAGATGGACCAATCACAGGAAAAAAACAGGCAGAAAAGATGGTGTCCCAGAAAGGGAACTGTCACGACCTGATTTCTCGAGTCATGACGGCACCTACTATACCCTACCAGTAGGTAAGCCAACCCGCAACCCAGAACAATGAGCGCAAGGGCAGAAACTAGCAAAACCAATAATCTAAACAAGGCGGAAACAAACCAAAATAAGAATGCCAAAAACAATAGCTCGAAAAAGGGTACAACAGTCAGGTTAATCGCGAAATTACCTTGAACTACGCGCACCCGACAACTTCCGAACACTATACAGCGAAGCCACCGAAAATACGAAGGTCCCGCACTTCGAATCGCCTAATTCAGTTCAGAGATGAGAGAGGTATGAGGATTTTAAGTT